GTATTTGGACCGGTGTGAAAATCGATGGGTAACGGGAAAAGGGGCAGTTGCTATCGAGAATTCCTCTCTTTCTCCTTCTCCCTCTCACTCCTTTCTTATTCTTTAGATTATATTTTCTTCTCTTTCTTTCTCCCTATCTTTCTCCTCTCTCTCTCTCTCTCTCGTTTATTCCCGGCAGAAAATAATATCCATAAAAGATTCCGGAAAAAAGAAAGAGTCAACGGTAGAGAAATAAAGCAAAGACACTGTGAATTCTCGGAATAGATACATTTGCTACAGTCAGTGAGCAGTCACTCAGTCATTGTCATTTGTCACCCGTCATGTTGTCATTGTCTCTCTAATCTGAAAAATGTTTGAGAGGGAGGGTGAGAGAGAGAGGGAGAGAAAGAGAGAGGGAGAGGGGAAGTGTAATAACCGATAAAAGCGGTATATCTCGGACAACATCTCTCGATGTGATGGTCCCTTTTATTTGAGAGAGTTGGGGAAAATCTCTTTTTTCATTTTTTTTCTCTCCGATTATTTTTTTAAAAATAATTCATCCATATGAAGTGTTAATGATGAAAGAGATGAAATAACGGTTAAGAAATAAGTCACAATGAATTTAACCAAATAATCGATTATTTAAAAGGAAAAAAGTACCGAGAAATCTCAGAGCAGAAAAAAAAAAGTTGAAATAATATTAATCACTAAAAAATTCATTTTCCTATACAATGTTCAAAATTTCTATAAGTAAAAAATTTATGGAAATTTTAAATTTAATTCAGATAAATTTATTTGGATGTATAGAAAATGAATCCGCGAAATATTTCTCAATATTTGAAATATTTATTTGATATTAATCGAATATAATTAATTAATTAATTAACTAATGCTTTATTGATTTATGTGATCTGTTCACTATCAAATATTTTCAGTACTAAAATTGATACCGAAAAGTAATTTATGAATTAATATGTAAATTAATCGCTTTATTGATTGATTGATTTGTTTTTAGTATTAAATATTTTAAAACACATAATAAGAAATTTTTATTTGTTTGTAAGCAAAAAAAAGAAAAAAATCCTATTAAGTTCCGAAAAATATTTCAAAAATATGTTTTGAAAAACTTTTTTAATAAGAAATCAATTTTAGAAAAAAAGAAAATGTGATAAAAATCTAACAAAATTTTTTGAAATTATCAAAAAAAAATTTTTTTCTAAATTTAAATCTATATAACCTTGCATTTGCTTCATTTTTATTTCTCTTTTCTTTTTTTCCTTTCAATCTTTAAACAGTACAAAAATGGAGGGAAGGTAAAATGAAAGAAAGAATTTTTTTTTTTTAAATTAAAAAAAAATTTTTTTTTAACTTTAATTTTTAAAATTAACAAAAATTACTCAAAATAAATATTTAATTAATTTTGTAATAATTATTTAAAGAAAAAAAGTATGTAAGGAATTGGCTTAATAATTTTTTATTCAAAAAAAAAAAAAAGAACAAAAGCAAAAATAAAATCAAATAGCTTTAAAAAAGTCATTTTTTAAAATTTATTTCTTTTATAAGTTGAAGAAAATTTTGAAATGATAATTTAATGATAATATAACAGTACAAAACTTTTTGAATAATTTATTTTTAATTATTGTTATTTAAATTATTTTTACAAAGTATTTATTAACTTATTACTTATCAAATTAATACAATAAATAATTCAGTTACTATTAAAAAAATAAATTATATTTATTAATAATGATCGAATGAATGTGAAAATATTATGTAACATAACATATGAGCATAGTATAAAATTAAAAAATGCAATTAAGAACATAAAAACAAAATAAAATTAAAAAGTATAAATTATTCAATTTATGATAAAGAAAGAAAGAAAAAATTATTCGCTGAAAAATGTAATCACATTTACTATTTGAAACGGTTAATTAATTAAATAATTAATTAGTTAATTAATTGTTTAATTGGATAATTATAAGAAATTCACTTTTCCTATTTTTTAAACCATAATTGTAAAAATTATTTATTAATTTAACAATACATTAAAATTTATATTATCCCCTATTTTTTTTCCTTATTCTTTCAATATACAATAAAATATATCGTTTTTTATTGAATGAAGAATATTTCATTTAATTGTCGGTTTTTTTGAAATAATATATAAAAATTTATTGTGCAATGTTATATTGCACAAATAAAAATAGAAATTTTTTTTTTTTTAACAATGATTTTATTCAAAAAATTTTTAAACAAATTAAATTAAAAGACAAAAAAGATAGAAATTTGAGAAATATAACAATTTAAAAATTCATTTTTTGATAGAACAAATTTTATAGAATAGAATAAATTAAATAATATTGCAAACACTGTTATATGAAATTTGCATATGAAAAAGATTTCCAGTAATTATACTAATTGCAAATTTAATTATTAAACTGAAAACTCATTAATTTGTTTCACTAACAAATTGTTTTTATTTTTTATTAACAAATTTTTTTACTAATTTTTTATAATTTATGAAATCCATTAATAAATTTGTAATGACTGACAATTAATGAAGTTTTCACTTTCTTTTAACTTTTAACTATTAAATTATTTAATATTTTAAAATTAATTTTCGGTGTTTTTTTTTTCGTTTTTTATTTGTTTTATTATACTTTTTTTTTGTTTGTATTTTTAGAAGAAAATAACAATGAAAATTTTCATTGGTATCCATTTTACTTTTCTTTTTTTTTTCCATTTCAATTTGTTTCACATAATTCATTTCATTTAGAAAAACAAAATAATAAAAGAAAAAGAAAAAAAAAGTAAAAAAAAACTTGACATTTTATTTTATTGATACATAGGAAATCATAGAAATGAATTAATTATAAGATGAAATTTAAATAATTTAAACATAAATTTTTCTGTTATTCAAAAATTATGCAACTAAATATTATTATGGGTAAATATTTCTCAAAACATTTCTTTTTCTCCGGTAAATATTCCGGAGAAAAAAATTCTTTTCTTGATAATTTTGAACCAAAAAAAAAAAAACAACTATCATTTAAATGATGGACAAAATAATTTCATAGAATACACATCAAATGTTCATAATTAAATTTTTACACCGCTTCTATTTTCCTCATCAAATACATTCGTTAACGTAACGGTTAGTCCCTCATTACGTTCTATTGGTCATTTTTGTCATTATACGGTCCCTTTTACATTCTATTTTCGTACGATTATTTTGCTCTTCTTTTATTGTACATTTTTTTCTTTTTTTCATTCACATTAATATAAATTCATTCCTCTTTTCATTTTTGTTTTTCTTTCCTTTTTCGTCATTCAATATATTGTTTACGTCACATTGATTGATATTATCAGACCAAATATTTCTATTCAAATTTCAATTTATCAAAGAATGTTTTTTTTTCCTGGATTTATTTTCAAATACATTTGCTGTTACATAATTTTGTATTATCTAAATGTTACCTTATCATTGATTGTGAAGTATTTTGTTTTTGTAATACTTTAACCATTTAAAAAATTTTTCATTTTTATTAAATATTTTATGTTTTCCCTCTCTTTCCCTTCCTCTCCTTATGCATAAAATAAACAAATAATAAAGGTTAGCTAGCTATTTTATTTATATCAAAAATGGTCGTCATTTCTTATGATAAATAGCATTTAACCTTTCTTTTTATTTTTTATTTTTCTAATCAAATGTTGTTTAGATAATACTTATATATTTATATTTCTTGCATATAAAAAGTTGAAATCGTGATTTTCTTTTTTTTCTAATTTTTAATTCACTTTTTTTTTTTTTTTTGTAAAAGAAAAAAAAAACAAATATTGAATTTTTTTATTTATTTCAGTTCATCAATAATAACAAAAATAAACAGCATAACAACAAATACAAAGGAAATGCAATATTATTAATAGAAATTGATAATAATACAACAATATATTAATAATCATTAATAAGGTATCACTTTCTTGGCTCATTTTTTCTTTCTTCTTTTCTCGCTGAACAATATTTTTATTTATTTAAATACGAATATAAAATATGATGATATATTATGTTAAATGAAGATACTTAAAGGATAAGCATGATTCATTTGCATTTGTGGCTCTTTTTGTTTTTGAAGAGCCGTTGGGTTCCCTTTTTTTTGCTGTTGTTTTTTTAGGCACTTTTAAATATGTGAGCAAATTAATTGAAAAAAATAGTAATGAATGATATCATGCAAAATTCGATGTTATTTCATGTTAAATGATGTAAAATTATACATTTTTAAATGCTTATTACTACTACAAAAAAAAAAAAAATTTTCAAACATTAATATTAATTAATTTTTCTTTTTTACATATATACATATAAATTTTGAGGAATGACAATAAAATTTAAAATTTTAGAGTACTAAACAAAAAAAAAAAAAAATGAAATTACATCATTTTATAAATGTAACAACAACGAATGATGACGATATCAAGACATTACATAAAGTGAAACTATTCGATTGAGACTTTTTATAGTCATTTGAGAAGTGGGTGGGCGGATGGAGATTTGTTGGTTGAAAGGTCAGCAATCAGTTAAGGTCAATAAGTAAGTTAGTTAAAGAGTGGGAGAGGGAGAGAAAAACAAAGGAAAGAAAAGAAGCAAAGAAAGTGTAATACATTATGAAAAATAGATAATAATTTAATCTATAGGTGAGGTAGAAAATGCTTCACATCAGTAATGGATATAACCTTTGACCAACAGTAATAATAGTATAGGCAGTAGTAGTAGTAATAATATAACTTTTTAGGACAGAAAAATAAATATAATAAGGTAATATTTTTAATTTTAATCTAATTCATTTTTAATATTTAATTACTTTCAATTACTTTTCTAAAAAAAAAACAAACAAAACTTTTTTTTTGTTTTCTTTTTATAAATTAGTAATTTTAATTATATGCATAAAATAATAAACAATTATTATCATTTATACTTCATTTTTCTTTTTTTCAGTAATCATTAGTTACTGTATGTGAAAATGAAACGAAAATTACGACAAAAGAAGAGGAAGAGACGTTTTTCAAGAAAACAACAAAATAATCATACTTCTTCGCCTACTCTATCATTATCACGATCACGATCACAATCATCATCATATGTACGATTATCAAAATCATATTCATCAAAAATTTTTGCTGCCTTACGATCACTTGATCGTGCAAGTGTTATGCAAGCTCAACAATTAATGACTCATTTTATCAATGGAATATTTCAACGATCAGCTAATGATGCAATAAATATAAGTTATAATCAACAATATCCTTCATCTCCTCTATATTATTTATTTAACATACGATTAACTCATAATCAAACAATTGGTCGAGTTATAGCTACTAATCAACCACCATATTATTAATTAAATAAATAATTCATTTAATCCAATAATCATCATTTTAGTATTATCAAAATTCTATATTATCATTCCTATTTCTGAATATATTTGATTGCTTTTGTTACGCCATATACTTATATTCTTTTGCTTTTTTGCTGAATATTTCCACTCCAATTATCACTTGTTGAATGATTAGACTAAAGATACCGATATACTCGACAGAACTGCTCATTAATTTCACAAAATTCCCTCCCTTTTCTCCAAATTGCAGTAAATATGTGTCAAATTGTAACTCTTCCATATATCCGTGTTCCCATGATGAACAGCAGATAGGAAAGATTTGTCACTTCTTCACTGTACTGTATCCGTGCTCATTTGTCACCATCCCTGGACAGCAATATCAAGTAAAGATACTAACACAAGATGTACACATAAGCGACGAACGATAATGCCGCGCTATGCTCATATTCAGCACACTCTCCTACAATCGATTTTTGCCCTTGAGCGGGACCGAATAATCCCCGATGCTGTGTTTTAATCTGACTGCTCTTTAAGCCTGCAGCAAAATCTGACCCAAAACTTTGTTCCAACAAAGCTCATATACGTATCAAGTCAAATATTCAGCTCAAACCATTTCCAAAAATTTTATTCGCTTCAAATTAAGCACAAAGTAAAAATAAAATTCTGACGAGCTCCCTAACCAACACCCAGTAGACAAATTGCTTGATGACTTGTTTACAGGGAAATGAAAAAACAATTCCAGAACTACAAAGATTCTGAAATGTCATCACAAGTTGAATTATAACAACAAAAGCCATAATTACCAAATTAAGGGACCGCGACTGCTGAGTTATTTCCAAGGAATAGATTCCTAAAGTCTTTTTTCTCCATCAAAATTCTTTATTCTTAACAAATCATGAGATCAGTTTCTGGAAGTTTCAGACTACACAGACACTACACATGACATGCACGGAATTACTTCGAGCTAGTATATTTGGTAACAGCTTTGGTTCCCTCCGACACAGCATGTTTCGCTAATTCACCAGGCAGAATAAGTCGGACGGCAGTTTGGATTTCACGTGACGAGATCGTCGAGCGCTTGTTATACTGAGCCAAGCGACTAGCCTCCGCGGCAATACGCTCGAAAACATCATTCACAAACGAATTCATAATCGACATTGCCTTCGAGGAAATGCCTGAAAAACAAACGAGTTCAAAATGTCACAGACAACTACTTACACCTGGACCTACAGCCCATTCACCACATTTATAGATTCATAATCATGCTCCAAATACTTCGCTCTTCCAGCTATAAAAACCCCAATCCTTCCTCACTATCACCCCTCGGCCACTTCCTACACTTTCACTACATCTCTATAATACGTAAAGTGGTACCTGTATCGGGATGAACTTGCTTCAGGACACGGTAGATATATGCAGAATACGACTCCTTGCGTCGAGATTTCCGCTTCTTGTCACTACCGCGAACTTTCTGCGATTTCGCAGCTTTTTTGGCTCCTTTAGCAGATGGTTTTGGTGGCATGTTAACAACACACGAGATCTGAAAGAAAAACAACACTTGCAATAACAATTAAAAAAAAGCTCGACCTGATACTTCCTCTCTTTTAATCTGCATATAGATATAATATATATATATATATATTCTACCACAGATTACTTTCTAGAAAACCCAACAAACCAAACTACCCAAATCTATTTACCAACGTAAATCTCTAAATTCATTTCATTTACAAACACCTTATTTGTACATTACCAATGAGAAATACCCTATCCCTTCTCGTTTTTGCCTATATCACATATTTCTGCAACACAAAGGAACAATCGAGAAAGCATTGTCGTAGTGATACACGAATACACCGCCACCAGCCACTCCCAGCATTTCACCATATAACAATACGCATAGTCCCCGATATCACATTAGCACCAACTCCACACCGCTACCTTCCTACCACTGAAACCATCGTCACTACAAAGGAAACCAACCTGACAATGGTACAACTCATTCCTACATCCTTTTATATCATCCATCGAGCGTTGCATATCGAGAGACCACGCCCACTTCATTATAGAAAGTGGGCGTGGTCAACAGATTGACAGCGCTCGCTGATGGGTATATATAGACTGCAGGAGGGAATGTGGTGCTTGTTGGATCGTTGGGTTGGCGAGGTGGGTATTGTTGTGGTATTGTGTAGGGTGGACATAGAGGTTTTGGAGGATTTCGTCCCCGAGTAGTGTTTTATTGAAGGGAAGGGTAGGTGAAAATGTTGGTTGGTTGTGGGGACTCTGGGAGTTTGCTGATTGTTGCATTGCTAAGGGATTGTTGAACTTAAATTTTGTGTTTTTTTTTTTTAGTTTTGACTATGTCGGGACGTGGAAAAGGTGGTAAAGCGAAATCGTCTGGAAAGGCGAAAAGTCGTTCATCTCGTGCTGGTTTACAGTTCCCAGTGGGACGAATTCATCGTTTGCTACGTAAGGGAAATTATGCGGAACGTGTTGGTGCTGGTGCCCCAGTATATCTAGCTGCTGTGTTGGAGTACTTAGCAGCGGAAGTGTTGGAGTTAGCTGGCAATGCGGCGCGTGATAATAAGAAGACACGAATCAATCCGCGCCATTTGCAGTTGGCTGTACGCAATGATGAGGAGTTAAACAAGCTGCTGGCTGGTGTGACAATTGCGCAAGGTGGTGTATTGCCGAACATCCAAGCGGTGTTGTTGCCGAAGAAGACCGCTGAAAAAGTTTGAGTTTCCGAAGGAAATGATGTTCTGTAATAGCAAGCAGTTACAAACCGTACTTTAATTTATTTGAAGTGGTGGTATGAGGAGGAACTGGTGGAATTAGCTCTTCCCTGATGGTGCATAAGAATTTTACCATTGGTTATGAGGTCGGGGGCAAAGTTGTGTTTTATTCTTAGGTCGGAGGCATAAGGTTCTCCGGATATGTCATGTGGTTATATCTATTTCCTGTCATGTACCTCTTATCATTCCCTTCAACTATGCACTTTATTGTTTGGTGTGACAGTTATTGTCTGTATATACTCGTTTAATTAATCAAATAATATTATGGGAAGCTGCCGCGCAGATTTGATCTCGTGTACCCATTATTTCACCTTGTTTATATTAATAAATATTCATTTATCTTTGATATATTTTTGGTAACATAATATGGTGGCATATAAGTACTAGATGGACTGCATTATGTTTGGGTGGCTATGAAGGGAGTATGGTGGCTCTTCTAGCTTAGGTTTATAACTACCTTTGGTGGCATTTACTGTTTGGTAAGTTACTACTAGTAGTGAGGGCTAGACATATGCATGTGGTGTATGTGTATGCGTGTATGTATGTGTGTGTGTGTGTGTCTGTGTATTGAGTGAATCCCGGTGAGGTCGTATCATCTCATCTGTATGGTTGCTATCGTTATTGATTGGACATAAGAGCAGGACGTGTGGTGGTGATGCTTGGACGTCACCGGAGAGTGTCACGTGGTGATTACGGTTCAGTGATGTTCTAAAAGTAGTGAAGTGTATCTCAGGTTTAATATACGGGGTTACACGTAACGTACAAGAGTTATCTATCTCCTTGTACTGAAGCTGTAAATATGCAAGAAACAATAATTACTATGAATGTAACCTGTGTTTGAAATGACAAGAATAAGCAATTTATGGGTTTGATGGATAAGGGTACGTGTAAACGTGAGACGAAAATAAAAACGAAAAATGAGTATACATAAAGAACAAATACATGTAAACGTGAAACGGGAAATAAAGCGAATTCTTGTCAAGGATAGAGGTGAAAGACAAGAAAATGAAATTAATTAATTATCGAGAATGATAACAACAACCTAATTTGTATTTACATGATTGTTTGTATTTGTTTTGGTTTTTTTCTTGTAATCTTTTTTTTTTAGTTTAATTTATTAAAATTGTTGGAAATTTTTTTTATTGATATGGCAGTTGAAGCATTTTGAATGAATACCTTAAAAATTTAATCATTCTCATTAATTAACTATGTAATGGATAACAATTACTTAATGTTGTAATCTGTTTGCTTATTAGGTAAAATTGATGTAAATTGGAATGAATTTCAATTTATAATCAATAAAATCTATAATAAAGAATTAAAGTAATCAAAAAGGAAAATTAAAAATTCCAAATTGTTTTGAAATTGTTTGATGTATTCGGATTTTTTTCTCCTCAAAAAGAAGTTAATTAAATAAATTAATAAATTTGAATGAATTTATGGTAGTTTTAATTCATTGATGAAAAAATATAAAATTCAAAATGAATTAACGAATTATATTTGTTTTATTTATAATTTTAAGTTTATTTGCTTTTTTCTTATTGAATGAATAATAAATGGTTTTATTGCTAATAATATTAATTTAATAGCATTTGTAATTTTACAAATTGGATAAATTGAATAAAATTTCATTTTTTGTATATAAAATACAAATGAATAATACTAAATTACTTTCTTTTTTTTTGCGCCAAACAATTTTAACTATCAATGAATGAATAATCATAATGATAAGGGATATTCTGATCTTTTTTTTTGATGAATTTCTTAAATTTTTGTTATCCTTTTTCTTTTGTTATCAGCACTATCAGTGTTATCAATGATTGTAGCAAAATAAATGTGGCACAAAATTAATAAAATACAGATATTGGAGTGATAAATTTTGATAATATGTTTGCTTTAGAAGTAATCGAATAAATTCTTATTAATTATTAATCAATATATTATCAATTTTTGAAATACAAATTTATTGCAGTAAATTTTTGTTCGTTTTTTTTTTGATAAAAAGTAATCAAAAAGAAAATATGTAAGAGAAGGCGACTGTGCTAGTTAATTAATAGTAGTAATAATAAATTTGAAATTAATAGAAATAATAAAACTGAAATTAATAATAAAATTAATTACAGAAAAAAATATTCATTGATCAAAAAAGTTGTTTTATACTTATTATATTCCACTATAAGGTATCAATCAATATTATCATTTCTTGAAATATAAAGTTATCATTTTATCAGGAAAACTAATATTTTTTTTTGAAGTCGATGATAGATTTTTTAAAAAAAAATAAATGATGCAAAAAGATGCGCAAATGTCATAACACAGAGTATCATTTATTTATTTTATATTCTCTCTATTATGAAAAACCTTTACGATACGTATATATCACAAAAGTAACACACGTAAGTAAACATATAATATTCTATAAGTCAAAACTTTACTTAACGTAATATATATTACTTATAATTTCACTTAATGTAGTATATAAATACCTAAAATTTGTTTAACATAATATATTAACGATCTAAAAATTCAAAAAAAAAAACATTAAAATCTAAAAGTTTTTTTTTTAAAAAAAAGTGTTAAAAAAATTGCTCAAAAAATTTTCAAAAAAAAAATCTAAAAGTTAAAATTTTATTGAAGTGAACCAACACGTAAAATGAGAAAATATAAAAATGAAGAATCGAAATAATAAAATTCAGTAATTATTAATTTCAGTTATTTACCAAATTATACGAATTGAAATAATTGCATGAAATTGTTTTTGCCTACATTACCAAAAATAATAAACAATATAATGCACTAATTGTTTTTCATAAATTCTTTTTAAATTTTGATGTATTATTATCAAATATTATTTTTAACATATCACTTTTAAATATCACATAAAATTTTAAAACAATGACACATCACTTCATTTAATCATATTAATAATTTTTTATAGTTTATTATTATCATTATTATTATTATTATTATTATTATTATTATTATTATTATTATTATTATTATTATTACTTATTATTATTATTATTATTATTATTATTATTATTATTATTATTATTATTATTATTATTATTATTATTATTATTATTATTATTATTATTATTATTATTATTATTATTATTATTATTATTATTATTATTATTATTATTATTATTATTATTTATTATTATTATTATTATTATTATTATTATTATTACTGATTATTATTATTATTATTATTATTATTATTATTATTATTATTATTATTATTATTATTATTATTATTATTATTATTATTATTATTATTATTATTATTATTATTATTATTGTTATTATTATTATTATTATTACTATTATTATTTTATTATTTTATTATTATTATTGTTATTATTATTATTATTATTATTATTATTATTATTATTATTATTATTATTATTATTATTATTATTATTGTTATTATTATTATTATTTTACTATTATTATTACTGATTATTATTATTACTGATTATTATTATTATTATTGATTATTATTATTATTATTATTATTACTGATTATTGCTATTATTATTACTGATTATTGTTATTATTATTACTTATTATTGTTATTATTATTACTGATTATTGTTATTATTATTAAAATTATTATTACTATAATTATTGATTATTTTTCTTATTATTATTTATTGTTATGTTTATTATTATTATTATTTACTATTATTATTTTCATTCTTTTCCGATTATACATCCGGAATATAACTGATATTATAATAATCTTTTGAGGTAATAATAGTAGTATTTGGAGATAAGTTCCAATTGGTTTAACATTTTTTTTTTCGTTTTTTTCCTATTTTTTCTTTCGTTTTCCAGAAAAACTTAACAAAAATAAGAAAAGTGGAAAAAATATTATTAAAAGAGAAAGCAAGAATTGACAACAATTATATCATTTAAACAGATTCTTTTTTCTTTTTGCATTTTTCATTTGTCAATTAAACCATTAAAAAATTTAACAAAATTTTTTTAATTTTAACACAATTCTATACAAAATTAAGATTTAACAAATTAATTACTTAAATTACTTAACAATTTCATTTCAATTTCAGTAATAATTTGAAAAAATCAGTGTTAATATTTATATTTTCTCTTTATTAAACTATATTTTTCAAGAATTATTAGTTATGCAAGAAGTTTTTTTAACTTATTATAATTAAAATTATTTCACTGATGGTATTTACAAAATATACTAGCAAAAAGTCAATCAAATATTTGCATGCAATGATAAAAAGTATTTGTTAATTGATTAAGAAATATACGAAAGCAATAAATACTAATAAATTATTCATTCAGATAAAGTAATTTTATTAATTAATTATTTGGAAGAGATATTTCGATTTTTATTTTTAAACTAATTACTAAATGAAATATATTTTATATAAGATTTTCTAAATTAATTATTGGATGAAATTTATTTTATAGTTGAAAGAAGAATTTTTTTCTTTCGTTTTATTTTGCAAAAATGGTAAAATTAAAAAATTGGAATGCATAATATATTCCGTTATTCATTCATTTTTTTTGTAGTTGAAAAAAGTAAATTAAAAAATGATAAATCGATAATTTTTCATCGAATGAATATTCTCGAGATATTTACTAAAGTTTAAATTATTTTGAAATGTCTCAAATTTTAGTAATAATTTAAAATAATCATTATAGGATAAAAAAAAAATTTTTTTTTTTGAAATGAATCAAATTATGTGTTTTTTTTTCTAAACTTTGAATTACTGAAATGAAATTTCCAAATATTTTGAAACTGCATTAAATACTACTATTTGTATTTGCTACTTACTATTATTAATTTAAAAATGAACCCAATGAAATATTTGTATGAGATGTTTAACCATAGGATGAGATCAGTCGACGTAACGTACTGCTGCTTATTTTTAACCGGATAGGATGAGAAAGTCGACGTAACGTACTCTGTACTGTTGAACCGGATAGGATGAGATCAGTCGACGTAACGTACTGCTGCCTACTGTTTAACCGGATAGGATGGATAATCGACGTAACGTACTGCTGCCTACTGTTTAACCGGATAGGATGAGATCAGTCGACGTAACGTACTGCTGCCTACTGTTTAACCAGATAGGATGAGATCAGTCGACGTAACGTACTGCTGCCTACTGTTTAACCGGATAGGATGAGATCAGTCGACGTAACGTACTGCTGCCATACTGTTTAACCGGATAGGATGAGATCAGTCGACGTAACGTACTGCTGCCATACTGTTTAACCGGATAGGATGAGATCACATATTGAATAAAATTTTCTTTCTTCATTTCAATAAAAGAAATAAATTCAAGAAATTATGTCACAGTATTTCAAAATTTATAAAAAAAAAAAAAGAAATTTAGAGATAATGCCAATAAATTTTATTTGAATATTTGAAATGAAAATAGTTGAAATTATATTCTCAGTCCATCATCAATTCGTTCATTTGTTTGCTATTCTTATCATTTCCAGTATTTTTCCATTATTTCACTAAAAATTTCCCATTTTCAAGAAATTTTCAACTACTTCCAAATTCTGTACTGTTCTGGTAGAATAATCAAATATTACTAAAACTGAATCTTAAAGGATTAAATTTTTGAATGTGAGAGAAGATACGAGGACATCTAGAATTTCCCTTCCATACTATCAAACTGATAAAATTCTGATTTTAATGAAATGACAGAGCAAACGGCAAAATTCAGTGAGAAATATGCATTAAAAAAAGAAGTGACAAAAAGAATGTCTACCGGTTCAATTTTACAGTCACTTATATCCGGCAAAATTACGGTTTTTTTTCTTAGTTATCATTCGTATTTTATTAGCTTATTTGAGAATAATTTATTGTTAGCTTCATAAATTTGAAAACAAAAAACTTGAAAATGGAAGATTGTAAAACTGGTCCGAATGAATTCATCGTAAGTTATCGAAAAATACGCTAACACTTAGCATATCTTAAATTGTCAATACTAATGAATAATGTAATGCAAAGGTTAGTTAGTTTTTCTTTTCTTTTTTTTAATGATTAACGATTAACTTAAAAATATTACGGCGTACTTTAAAATTCTAATATTATATCAAATACGTTTGTAAATTTTTTATAATTCAATCACCAAAATGTTTGATTGTTACATTCACATGAGGGCAGGGCAATAGAATATGATGAAACTAATCACGTGACTGAAGTGGATGAGTTAGTCACGTAAGTGGAATAAGTAAATGGATTAGTCACGTTAGTGTGAAGTGAGTGGACGAATTAGTCACGTTATGATCTTCTGGTGTCATTTGGGATGAATAAATGATTTATTATGAGTCATCGTAACTTTCATGAGTTATCTAATCGTTAATCCATCTAAAATTAATGATAGATTATCACAAGTATGATGATAATTATAAATGATATCCAACTTATAAAATCAATTAAATATTTTCTGATTAATTTATTACTTATCTTATCAGTAATTTTCTCAATAATCAAATTAATAACAATAAAAAAAGTAGAAAAGATTTTATCAATTTCGTTTTAATTACTCATTCTTTAATGAATGAAATAATATGAAATGAATGCTAAATATTTATAAATCAAATTAATTTATTATATAAAAGATGAACAAGAAAATTTCATTAATAAATTTAATTTTAATTTCTATTTTTTTATGCAATTCATTCATTCACCCATTCATCCGTGTTCGATTTATGCTCAAATGTATGTAACATTCCGTATGTACGAACTTTATATGAATTTTCTTTTTTTTCCCGTACCGTTTCTTTGGGATTTTCTGGGTAACGGAAGGCGGGGGGAGCAGAAGCGGGTAAGTATGGGTTTCTTTGATGAGAGCTTATGAATAAATATGGGAATGTTAGATTTATGAATTGTTTGGAAGAATGCAGTAAGTATAAAATTTATTCATCATGATATATGGGGTGCTTTTATTTAATAACTATCTTTTTTTTTAGGTAATTCCTGTACGTTTAGCAAATATTTATAAGTTAAAACTTATATATTTATGGTGAAATATCTATTTATTCAGTGCTTTTAATCGATTATTTCTTTTTTAATTTCTATCTTTTTTTCAGAGTCAATCTATTATTATATGTGGATAATAGTGCATTTTTTTCTTCTTTGTAAATTATAATTTCAAACAAGAAAATAATAATGGCAATGATTAATTTTAACGATTTTGCCACTTCAGGTAAGTCTTTTAAAATAGTGATATTATTGTTTAATGAAATATCATGTTAACAAACATAATGTTAGGCATAACTTTTCTGAAGGATTATTTAAGCTTTCGGAATTGGTCAAGAAGATTTAATTCGTCTCAGAAAGCATGCAATTTGTATTCTCTGTTGGATTTATGCATTTTTGACTAGCAGAATGCATTTATTTTTTTTTATTCAAAAATATATTTGGTAAAGTCTTTTTAAGTTGAAAAATCCTATGAAACACAGCTGGTTGTGTGAAACAATCGCTGCAAAATTGAAAATTCGACACAACTATAAATATAGGTTCAGTGAGGAAGATTTTTTATTTGCAGCTGTTGAATTGTCCGAAATGGTTATTGAATATAGCGAAAATGAATTCAGGGAATTCAACGAAGGTTGGTTGTATATGTGTGGTACGGCATTTATTTGAAAGTTTTGCTTTTATTACTCAGATAATTGTAGGTAGTTTTTTTTTTTAATTTTTAATACCAGTACTTTTACCCATTGTGTTTCATGAATTTCTAGCTAGAACTTTCTAATATTTTCAGAAATGGAAACAGAAAGTACTGAAATGCTTCACTACGACACCTTTTTATTATATGCACGAAGCGAGAATTCATCAGATAGGTGAGTTTTTTTCATTTTCGGCACTTATAAATAAGTTTTTAATTAAGTGTTGAAATTCCTTTTGTAGTTGAAAGCTTCAAAAAGAAAAAATCCTTTCAATTTTGAAACAAGCTGCATTATTTTTTGATACAGAATTGTTCTGATAACCTAGTTTGGCATTATATTATTAGCTTGACATTATATCAAGTCTGCGCTGTCTTACAGAGATAATAGCATTCCTTGGTATGTTTGAGGATCGTTAAGTAATTTGTTTTTTTGAGTATTGGAAGAAATCTTCCTGTTTATGGTCACAAATAAGTTGGCACTTAAAATTTCCAATTTGACTCAACTGAATAATGTATTTTGTCACCTGATCTTTAAACATGTCATCTGAATTTCTTGTTTAAATAGAAACTTTTTCAGGAAAATTGCAATCCGTGATCTGGTGAAATTGTCGCGAACGCTGAACATCGAAAAAGAGCAACGGCAGATTGAAGTTGTCTTTAGTCTGATTGAAAATATCTTTGCTAAAGAAACAGGTATTTTTATAGTAATTCAAAAAGTGATTTTGTTATCTTAAAGTGGATTTTCTGAAAATATTTACCTACATTTATCATGAACGTGGATTGGAATTCACCAATCTTATACCAATCTAATTCCATATTAAATGGACGACCTTATTATTCTAGAAGCTAATTTAATAGCTAAATTGAGTTACAGAGACGTGAAATATTAAAGTTAATATTATACTCTATTACAGCACTACTGTATATGTATGTTCCATTTATTAGTAAGATAAGGGCTTATTCCATTTATCAAAATTTACTTCAGTTTGTAGTGTTGAAGTTGTGCTGGCTAAGTCATTTTACAATAAATAGTTGAATTAGAAGTGACATAAGTATGAATATTATTAGGTGAATTAAGGAATTTGTTTGTATTCAGGCGAATTTCTTCTTTTTAATTATTGATCGTAATAAAGGACAGATGGAATGCTAAGATGCTTATTTTATAATTGCTTAAATTTATTACATGAAGAAAAAAGTTTGGTGAGCTAGGTTTTTTTTTTTTTTTCTTTATTATTATAGAAGCTAAAAAAGTTCTATTGAATTTTTTTCTTCTCTGAATTGCAGATAGTAAAATATGTGGTATGTTAGTGGAGCAGATTCCTTTATTATATGTTGAATTTATGGCAATAGAACACCTGCTGAAAAGGGTTCATAAAGTATTCCCAGAATTACTAGCAAGTGCTTTGGATCATTCTGCGGATGATGTAAGTGGTTTTCATAAGTCACTTATGTTTTGTAGCTTATTTTAGGACTAATAACTAAAGAACGGTATTTCTTCGAGATATGAATTCGTTATGACATATTTTTTATTACATTACTGTTTTTGGTAGACTTGTCGGTTCCTTTTTTTCGTTGTAAGAAGTTTTTTTGAAACTCATTTTTCTTTTTTTTTTCCACTTATTTTTTTTTTTTTGTCTTCTGTTATACTATTCGATTATCTTTTTAAAACATTTTTGGTGGTTGATGATTATTCCAAAACTTACCCAAACTATTTTTTTGCGACAGTACTGTAGGAAGTAGGCTGTTCTCAAAAAGTAAACAGGTTCTTGTTTGCTTTCAAGATCTATAGTTTGTAATAATGGCAACAGGTTTTAATGTCGTTCTCTTTACAGTGCAATCAGCACAAAATGTTTTCTTTTTTTTTTTTTTTTTTTTTGGAAGATGTGTCTGTCTTTGCTGAAATTATTTTAAGAGATTTCATTGATTGACTCATTTTATTGACTCTTGCGAAAGAAAGGGAAAACTGCAATTATTTTTTTAGTTGATTGGAATTAAAACATTTAGATTGAATTGCCGTTTTATGTAACCGAAATTTTTATTTTTTGACTTCAATAAGTTCATTCATTTATTCAAACTATGCATAGCTAATTCAGATAGGATTGGAGAGCTGTGATCAGTATGGAAGCTTGAAATGTTTAACTCAGTTTTGAATTTAGCTGCAGTTTTATCGAACAGTTTTGTTTCTGTTGGTATCCGCAAACTAAAATACTTCCATTTTTCACACATTAACTGGAGTTGCTAAAATATTAGTTTTAGAAACTTTTAAAAGATTAGTTCACAACAGATCAGTCTTGTTTTGTTGTAGTTCATCTGGATCACTGTGATTGTCTAAGTGATATTAATAACATTGGACACGTATATATTTACCTTCCTAAAAAAATTTTGTTGCATTAGCTATCAAATATTTTTTGTCAGTTCACCTATCGCTTAGACTATGTTTTGAATATTTAATAATTTTTATCCTTACAAAGGGGATCACTGCGGGAAAATGACAGATGCGTAATGAGAAGGAGGGAGAAATTGCTCTTCACAATCATATATTTTTGCATTTTTTTTTTCGTTTCTTTCTTTTTTCCTCGTTGTCTTCCCGTTCGTTTCGCTGCAATGACTTAAATTTTTTTTCCTTTTTTTTTTTTTTTTTTGTCCTTTTTGTGGGCCGTTTTTTAAGTGATCGAATTGAATTGTGCTGTTCTGTTGTAAAAGCTCTTCAAGCAAAAAGCGCCAACAACATCAGCAATAGATTTTTCTGACCTTGAAAAAGATAGAGAAGAGAGAATCAGTCAACCACAACTGTCCTTTTCTCATTTATTGGTTTCTCTGGATAACCAAGGAGAAATAATCCAGAAATCAAGGACGGGATTTCGAAAATGATGGAGTGAATGTGTTATAATCTTAAGAAAACAAACATATGAAATTACTGATAATAAGCAGTGAGAATTAGCATCATAAAATGATATGCATATGAGTATTCGTATCGGCGATAGGCGCCGATGATGGCACACGATGAAGTGGTTGTAGATACTGGTCGATCACTAGGCAAATTGAATTCTAATTTTTTTCTTTGATAAATTTTCTTCTTCTTACTTTGTCAGTCATAAAGATTATAATAATTCACTGAAATGAAACAAGAAATTTTGAAACTTCATTCATCTCGTCAAACGTTAATTTTGTTATCACTTTTAACAGGAACATTTAATCAAACATCTTTTCAAATTTTTGTGAGAAAAAATTTTTAAAAATTTTTTTTTCTTTGAAAAATTTTTGAAAAAAATACTAGTTAAAAAATACGAATGTTTATTTGAGAGTAAGTAAGCGCTATTTAGCAATCAAGGAGATTTTATCCATCGTTGGATTTGTTGAGAGGGCAAGAAAGAATTTTGTCACATGAAATTAGCAATGTATCGATCGCATTTTCTATTTCTATTTCATGCCAGATGTGATGAGAAGAAATAGGAGAAATATTAACATTCTTTAGAATCAAATGTCTTAAGCCGTGTGATACTTCAAAATATTGCATGGAAATGTCCAAGTGTTCTGTAAGTAATGTGATATGCAAAGATAAGTAGAATGCGATGTCTTTTTTGATAGTTTTTCAGAGGAACTCAGAGTAACATAGAACGGTTTAGAATGTTAAAATCTTTGTTAATAATATTTTGAAAAATTTTTTCGATTTTTCGATTAAGGCAATATAATGTTATATATAGATGGGTACATATAGTGCATTAGGGCAATTTATGCTAGGGAATTTAGTTCAAGGAACAAAGTTCAAGAAACAATATCTATCTACTTCAAGTTCTGAAAGCTAATTTTAAAATGTGATTGATTTGAAAACAATAAAGGAACTTCAAGAAAATTTGATTCTATTAGAAGTATTTATCCTGCAAATATGTTCTCATTAATAACCAAGATTATGTGAGGAATAGGATTATATTACATAAATGGATTGAAAATTTTTGCTTTCCTGTATATACTCACTTAGCTGCCTTATTTTTCGAAATTGTGCATAAAATAATCCTAAACAAAGATTTTCATCAAAAGATTTGTGGATATCGTAGAACGGTAAAATAATTTTTACTGAAATCAAAATTCAGTTTAGTAGGTATAAAGTGGTTTCATTATTTTATTCTATATTCCATTCAACCGATTTTAGTTTACTTAATGATAACATCATATATATATATATATATATATGTATAATCATATTGTTAGTGTTTATAATATTTTAAAAATCGAAGCTTGTTTCTCTTTTTATTTATCGAAAGAAAAAAAGTTTTTTTCAAGATGATTTGTTTAATTTTTATTTTTTTCTTGATTTCTTTCAGTCAAAAAGAATTTTTATTTATGTAATGAACAGATGATATGAAGAAGCTACAGTTAAATGACATGTGTTGTTTTCGTTCATAAAACGGATATTAAATTGATATTAGATAGATGAAGCTGATTAGCTCTCGATAATCACATATTATTATTTTTCACATCTTCATATGAATACATGTTAACACGGTGTTTGATGTATTGTTTCATTAAGTGGTAACTTTTCTTTGGTATAAACTTATTGGTATATTTCTTTATAAAATTTGTCGTATTTTGCTTTATTGTTATTGTATTATTTATGATTGTTTATTGTTGCAACATCTGCAATAATCAATCTTAGATAAGTGAAAAACATTTGGGGAATGTGATTGGAGGAACACATGCATTAACCTGTTTAATGGTTTAGCAAAAAGAAAAATGTGGTAGAATAACATTATAAGCCATTATTGATGTTTTGGCTTTTTTTTCTCTTCAGATTATTGTTCTGTTACTTTTTTTTTCTTTCATGGTTGAATTATCTGATCGAATGATGAATTAAAAAAGAAAAAAAATTAAATAATTTCTAGTTGATTTTAGGTACGTAAATCGGCAATTGGCGCTATTGATGCTTTGGTTGAGCAACGTATACTGCCGCAAGGTATGTTTTTCTTTTTTTTTTTTGCGTGATAGATTTTAAAGTTAAACATATGTAAATTTATATCAGATAAAAATTGTAGACTGTTCGATAGTGATAGTGATAGTGAGAAAACTTGTAGGTTTTTCCCTTGTTGATGATTGATTGCTGCTTTGAATAATGGATTAGATATTTCCATTTATCATGTTGTTGGTTGCTTGTTGTTTCTTGTTTGTCGCTTCTACTAGGCTAATTATATTTCTCTCGTAGTCTTCTATTTATTCAGTAAATTATATTGCTGAAAATGTCTATATTTTAACATTTAGAGGTTTCTAGATGAGGAAAAAATGGCATGAGTAATATGCATGAATAGTAGAATAATAGTAAATCGAGTAAATTGTAGTGTATACTTTTTTTAGTTAATTTATTGTAAGTTGATTCATATGGAAAGATATTTTAAATTACGTAATCGTTTTAAATAATTTCATCTTTGTTCTGTTTTCTCATATTAACGATTAGAGAAAATATGGAAGTGTTTTTTTCGTTTTTTTACTTAATTAGGTAAGCAAATAAGGATACTATAGTACGATTTCACAAATAATTGGACAAATATGCTTCGTGATATCCTGAAAGGGTTTGCTGGTACATTGCCATCATGTTTTCTTCATTATTCAACTAAAATAAATTTCATAGGAGTCATTTCATTATTATTATTATTATTATTCGACAAATAAACAATATGGGCTTTTCGTTCACTTTCTTTTATGGTAATGCTGGTAACAAGAAATTTTAAAGAACTATATTTGCATGCATATATATATATATATAAATTCCATTGGGTTTTTTTTTTATACTTTTGTTTTAATTCTCAAAAATGCTTTTTAGTTTTTTTGTTTACCCATTTAATCGTATGAAGCAATAGGAAGCAGCAGTGATGCTTTGTGTGAGGTCTCGACGCCATTATACTCACGATATAAATATTGCCTTTTTTTTATTTTAGTGGTAGAAAAAAATTTCTTTTTTTTTCTTGGGATTTAATTTTTTTTTCTTTTTTTACGAGCAGGAAGATAGCATCGTATTTTCATTCATTGTTTTCTTTATTCTCTTCCAGTTTTTTTTTTTTCTTTCCAAAAAGAAAAAAAAAGAATAAATCAAAATTGAGAAGATAGAGAAAACCGAAAGGAATTGAATAAATCATTGCTTGGCATGTTTCCCGTTTTTTTTTGTGTTTTTTGTTTTTTTCTTTTGAAGTTAAAAGTTATTGTGAGCTAAAGTATATTAAAGGTACTTTGGAGAAAGGACATTGTATTTTAAGTTTTTAAGAGTTAAGCATTTCTTTCTTTTTGTGTATATATATATACATGTGTGTATGTATTTATATAAGTATGGATATGTATGGATGATTTATCCTAACATAATCAGTTTGAATATTTTCTTGGAATTATTTTATCGAGAACAAAAAGATTAAAATTTTACGAGCAAATTCTTGTGTGTGTGTGTGTGTGTGTTGTGTATGCGTGTGGTGTATGTGTTGCATCATCA